GGCTGCTCGGAGGAGACCCGGCGGCCGGGGATGTGCCGGGCAGCTCGGGTTACTGGGAGATGCCTGCTGGATCTTAAAGGGAGCTTGCTCCTGAGCGCAGCACCGGCCGCAGCCGGGATAAGGGATGTTGGTACGAGCAGGAGTCTGTTGCGGGAAAATTGTGTCTTGTGGTGCGTTTGTCTGAAGTCTGCAGAGAGAAGCGTGTGTCAGAAATGTGCCTGACAAGCAGTACAACCCATTTCAAACTGAGAGCCTAGCGTGCTACTTGTTTTCAGGGTCCTTTCCACGACCGTGAAAACCAATCGCCCTTATGACAGAAGTTCTTGTAATTACTGTGTGATAGGACATTATTCAGAATTTATTGCAAATAATGCCTTGTGCTTATTTGAAATGCATCTCGTTTGGCTCAGGAGTCCAATAACTAACAAATTAATGAGTTTATGTTGACTGAGTTTAGCGTAATAACCGTAACACTGAAAACAGACTACTTAGTTCAAGTATTGTAGTGCTTTAATCTCAAAGCTACTACAGTACTGTTTCTAAATGAACTTTACTAAAAATCTAAAAAAAGATTTCTTAGTAGAAAATCTGTTTCTGATACTGTACATTTATAACTTAGAACTATAATAAAATCTCTTAAGATTAATTTCAAAATTTGTTGAAAAGAATTTTTACAGTAATAGCAACTATTTTTAAGGATTTTTATTGGAACTTTATTTTTGCTATTAGTTAGCTGAAATGTGTTTGTTGCTCAATAGAAATTATATGAACTAACTGGATGGGCCTGAAAACTGTGAAACACTATGTTTGTTTTTTTAAATTAACCTTAGTTTGAAGCACTGCTGTTCTCCACATATGTTACAGATATTTGTGATACAATAAGAGAGCGGAGAAATTGCATCTTAATAAATGGAATTCTTTCACTGTGCATGGCAAAAAATAGCACTACCAATTCAGTGTGGTCCATGGACACTGAAAGCATTTGAGATTTGACCAATGGAATTTTTAAAGAATGTGTTACCACTTCTTTTCCTATGAAAGATGCATCGAGTTATAGTGTTGACTCATTTTTTGCAGAATTTTTTCTTTAAAATGAAAACAATTTTAGCCACAGTGGTAAATTTTTCCTTGGATTGTGCATGTGTTCCCAGGAGGTTGTTTCTTCTAAGAGGCACATACATCTTTATTTAGACTTTCAAGAAAAATCTTGTGGCCCATAAGCAGTAATACAATTGAAAATTATTATATCATTCAGCCTTTTATTTTTAAGCTTTAGATATTTTTATGAAATACAGTGGCTCACTTATGCAAGATTTCACAAGAATCTGTAGCTGGTACTAGAATTATAATAACTTCCAATTTCCAGTTTTCTCATTCCACATAAAATTACTGCAGTTTTAAGACTGCTGTTCTGTAAAAATCTTACACTTTAAGCTCTTTGCAGTGCTTAAGTCTACAGTACAACTGTTTTTCTGTATTTGTCATCCTGAGAGCACAGTTTGTCCTGTCTGTGTTTCAGTTATATGTATTAATTTTGTTTTGTTGCAAGCAAACTCTGATTTTTTGGATAGACGCATCAGATGATGACTCTGTCTAGTTCATTGTGAACAGTTTGATTTCTTTTAAATTTTTATTTCAGCATGAAAAATAAATCCAGGTGAATATATATATGAGAAATATCTACGCTCTACCTATTTGAACAACTTGCTTGATACTGTTCTTATGAAGATCGAGATTACCAGATTTCACTGATCTTTCTCTCATTGATAATAATTTCATTTTTATCCTTTAATCTGAATTTAATGTTTACATTTAAGTAATAAATGTTTTCGCATGTGGATGAAATATGACAATGGTGGAAATCTGCAGTTCACTAGGGAATTTAACTGCTTTCTGAATGAAGAGTTAAGCCACTTCCATCATAATTCCATTTGAACCCAAAATATTTTTTGAAATATTGTATTTTACTCTATATACCAATTGTACTCTGTGGAATCATTATTAGCTAATGTGACCAAGAGCCTAATCTAAAGGGATGAGAATAAACTCACAGCTGTCTCTGAGACTTGAGAGTACTGGATGACATTTTAGCATTAAAAACAAACTTGAAAGTTTTGCAAGATAGTTTGGCTCTTCGCTGAAAGAAGATGCTGTTTCTAAAAGAAAAAATAAGCTTGCTTTTTTCATGCTGCTTTCCTGTTGTGTGTGGGGTTTTTTTCTCTCTAATAGGCTAATATTCACTATTAAGAAAAATTTAATACTTTTCTAGAATTTGGATTTCTCACAGTGGAACTTGCTCATGAGTGGCTCTTGCATTACAACGTGATTTGCTATCTAGGTTTGGAATTAAGGAGTTGCAATGTAAGCATTTTGTGAAGTATAATTAGACATCTAAGGAGAAAGAAGGTTCAAGAAAGTAATTTGTTGCAAAAGTTCTGAAAATCTAATATAAATTTATTACTAATTCTTGCAAGTGTGTGCATATGTTGTCTGCATAATCCCAAGCCATGGGAGATGAGTGCTCGGTACTTAAAACTATGTTTGAAAAATTACCTAATGGGTCAGTAATTGGTTGGAGTTTTAGATTGTAAAGTGTGTAAAAGGCATTTATTGCGCCTTGTTCCTTGCGATGTTTATTTTATAGCACTTTAAATCTATGAAGTTGACATATTTGTCTAAATTTTCAATAGAGTATGGGTTAAATACAATTACTGACCACATCAGTATTTTTGCTTTTGTAATGTCTGTCATCTACATGAATGTATGTTGATAGTACTTGCCTATTGCAGGGTTTGAGAAACAAACCAAAGAAAACAGGACATGTGAAACCAGACCTCATAGATGTTGATCTTGTGAGAGGTAGGTCCTGAGCTAGAAAAAGCCGAATTTCTCAGTATAAAAATAACTGCCATCCTGGGTCTTGTAACAAGAGTGTATTAACAAGCATTAAAAAAACTCCACACCAAAACAAAGCCAGCCAATCCTACATAAGGTGTCTCTAAAGAAGACTGATAGAAAATGTTGTTAAAAGATGACCTCTAGTTTAAACTGATGACTTAAAAACTTGATTTAAATTTTGTTATATAGATTTAGATTTTTTTGAAAAACAAACAAAAAAGTGGATTGTCATGGATCAAAGTTTTGGAGTTGTTAGTTCAGAAATCTCCTATTGCCATGCATTCAGACTTCTTCCAAATCTTCTGACATCTGGAAGAAAGGTTATGTTGAAATTTCTGGAAAGCAAAGAATGTATAGGCCTTGAATGTCTCTTGCCTGTTTTAGATAACAAAACAGCAACAGAAAGTCAGATGATAGGAGACTTTTCAAAAAGTCTTTATTTAGTCTTAATTTATGTTTATCTTAATTTCCCTCATGCCTCATGAAGGCTAGAAAAAATATTATTTAGCATTTTTTTCCGTGAGCCCAGCAGCCAGCATGGTCTTCCTGAATCCATTCCAGGTAGTGCTCTTTGAATTTGGTCTCGAATGAACCAAAACACTTTGCTGCGCTCTTGCCCTTAGAGATACACAGGCACCCTCACATCCAGAGGGGCCCTTAGAGACCCCCTCACCCCCTTGCTCCCAGGCTGCTTCACCCCTTTACTCACGACCAGTCCTTTTTATCCCATTACCCCTCAATTTCCCCACGCTTATTCCTCCCCAAATCACCTAAACCCCTCCTTTCTTCCACCCTTGGCTGATGGCTCCAGTGATGGGTCTAGACCCACCCCAGCAGGGTATTGTTTGGGCTCCCGCTCCTGCCATTGTCTTTGAGCTCCTCTGTGGGTGTGCAGATGAGCTTTTATCACGTCACCTAACAATATAACTTTTTAAAAATGGGAATGTCAGAGAAAGAAACAAAATCAAATAAGATTTGAACTTTAAAGAAACAGAATTGAAAATTAAGTGTTTGTAGGAATTAAGGAACAGCAGTAGACCACTTCAATATAGTGATATACATGAATAGCATTTAAATGACTGCTCTGCACAGATATCTAAGCTGGCATTAAAGTAGTTCCAGTACTGGCAGTATTTTACCTGTGCACATACAGAGCTCACTAATTCAAGTTCTGCTTGTAAATGAGGTGGAAATGGCATAGCAAGCATGCAGCAGTTGCCCTTTCCAAGCGGTAACCTTGGCATAATTTAAGTCACACCCTCATTAAGAAAATGTTACACAGTTTTCTAGCTGCCAGAGAAGTGGGAATTTGCAGGAAAAAAGAGAAATGGATGGATATGAGAGAGTAAGGACACTTGAATGAGTGAGATGATTCTATGAAAAATGGTGTAGAATCATAGAACGGTTTGGGTGGGAAGGGACCTCAAAGATGATCTAGTTCTGACCCCTCTCTGCCATGGGCAGGGACACTCTCTGCTAGACCAGGTTGCCCAAAGCCCCATCCAACCTGGCCTTGAACACTTCCAGGGAGGGGGCATCCGCAGCTTCTCTGGGCAACCTGTTCCAGTGCCTCACCACCCTCACAGGGAAGCATTTCTTCCTAATACCTAATCTAAATCGACCCCCCTTCAGCTTAAACCCATTACCCGTTGTCCTGTCACTCCATGCCCTTGTAAACAGTCCCTCTCCAGCTTTCCTGTAGGCCCCTTCAGGTACTGGAAGGCTGCTCTAAGGTCTCACCGGATCCTTCACTTCTCCAGGCAGAACAGCCCCAACTCTCTCAGCCTGTCCTCATAGGAGAGGTGCTCCGGCCCTCTGATCAGCTTCGTGGCCTTCTCTGGACTTGCTCCAACAGGTCCAGTAGAAGGAGACAAAGACAAATTATTCTTTGGGTGGCTTCCCTGCTCCTGGGCTAGTCCTCAGTTGGACAGATACTGCTCCATACTTTTCAACCTTATTTCATTTTCCTGAATGACATGGCTGGAGCAATTTACAGATGTTGATAATTTAGATCCCTTTGTTGTGTCAGGAAAAGGGTTCTGCTGTGACTACACAGGCATGTGGAGTTTTCATATGACTTCCTGTTGCTTTATATGAAGTTTCTGATACCTCAGTGAAACAGAATAATTTTTAATAATTTATTTTAAAATAATTTTGACATAGTAAGAAATGTCAATGTTTTGTTATTCACACATTTCAAAATCTAGGTATTTGTAGAAGCTCCTGATAGTGGCAGTCAAGAAAGCACCAACAATTTACGAAAATCTTGAATTGAGGACATAGTGAAATGGTGGAAGTACGAGATTTATTCAAATAAATATATTTAATAGTTGCTCCTTTAATTAACTACTCTGTGATTGAACAGCTAAAGTTATTATTAGCAGTAACAAATATATTGAAATTTCTTTTCTTTTTTTAAAGGATCTGCTTTTGCTAAAGCAAAACCTGAAAGTCCTTGGACATCTCTGACCCGCAAAGGAATCGTGAGAGTTGTTTTCTTTCCGTTCTTCTACAGGTGGTGGCTACAAGTGACATCGAGGGTCATCTTCTTCTGGCTGCTTGTTCTTTACCTTCTTCAAGGTAGAGTTGGATTACAGTATCAGCTTCAACTGAATGCCTTATTTTAACCATATGGAATCTGCTGTATGTTACTTGAGTCACTTTAAGCTGTTAAGGTTCTTGCCAATATTTTCTGAAATACTGGAACGACACAGTCTCAAGCGTGTGACTTTTCGTTAACATTTCTTTTACGTATGTAAAGGGAGCATACTGAAAATGTAAGGATATCCTCACAGGATATCCTAAGTGCTTTCTTCAGCACTTAGCATACATGTTAGTTTGCTATCTCTGTATATAATTTAGGTTTCCAGGACTATCTACTTTCGTTCAGGACTGAGCAATATAAAAAAAACCTTTGGCTTAGGCAGTGTATTTGTCTTCGGCTTTTGGTCTCTCTGGTACTTGTGCAGATCAAGAGCCCTGATCAAGAAGCGAGCAAGGCCAAACCTGCCAAGGTGTGTGCAGCTTGTGCAGCCTGGTAGGATGATCAGTTTGACCGGTTTCCAGTTGTCCTTTTGTGTGGTATTTTGTCATATCAGAGGCAGTGAACTTCTAGCTTACACTTCAGTCATACCTCAGCCGTGCTCCTCAATGACTGGCAAATGGGGGGCTTATTGTCCTATGTGCTTCTGCTATTTTTTCCATTGCATTGAGGAGGCTATACGTTCTAATTTTATATTTCCTAGATTATAGAAGGATTTGTGGGTAACTGATAACAAACAGAAGGTAATTCACAGCTTTCGGGATGCTCAATCTCAAGTTCTACTAATCTGACTTTGTGCTTCTCTTAATTATATGTAATGTAGAAGAGGCAAATTAGAAGGGGAAGAATGTAATGTAGTGAGTCAGTATCTAACAGCGTGAAAGTCACCAAAAGAATAAGTGTATCAGAAGCGTGTACAACAGAATTGGAACAGAAGGTTAATGAAAGTTGGGAGCAGTTTAAGTACCCAGAGAAGTTAAATGACTGATAAGTTTTCCACTGAGATCCAATTAAATGTTTCTTTTTTTAATTTTGCCATCTGTCCTTACAGTTGTGAATCACTGTATCATTTGGAAATTGTATTTAAAACAAGAAATGGAGTTTAAAAAAAAAAAAAAAGGACAGTGCCTCTTGTGTGGTGATGTTCGCAGCTATAAAATGAATGCCACAGTGCCAGTGCCCCAAAACTCGAAATTTTGACAAATATTTGGGTGGTCTCCTATCAAAACTTCTCCTCATCCCCATTTCTGAGATAGGTGCTTAAGAAATATTGTTAGCATTTGTGTATACTATGGTAAGCGATCCCATAGAGTTAATATTTTTAATCTCATTTGTAGTAATATAGATAGTAAAATACATAAGGTGTAGTTCATTTGTGACTGTGTTCATAGGTAGCTTATTCTGAGAAACACCATTATAGTAATTTTTTATGTTCTTGAATTTATTTTAAAAATATACCTATGCTTAATTTATGGAGCCTTCATAAGACTAAAAGCAGCAAAATATGAGACAATGCAGATTCTGAGTACAAGCAAGTTTTTTAGGACATTAATTACAAAGTTATATTATTAACTTTTTTTTCCCCTCAGAGTTCTGGGGATCTGTGATTTACTAAAGTTATGGTTGGAATGCATCATTTCCGTAATCCATGTAGTCTGTAATGTGACAAAATATTTCTGATATTTCTGAGGCTGTGAATCAACAAATACTCAAAAAGAATTATTAGCATTCCATATTACACTATAATCCAACTATTTGAAACACTTGCCATTTAAATTGTGCTGAATTAACTGCAGAGTTTTTGATGGTTCTTCAAGTAAATTGGAAGACTTGTAGACGTAAGTGAAATTAAATTGACAATTTTTTTTAAATTCAAAACAAACCCCCTCAAGCCTCTTCTTCTAGTACTTCTACATAAGTTTTGCTTGTATGTTACTCAGAAGGTGTGCTCAGTTAGTCATTTCATACAAAATCAGTAAGGCAGCACCAAAACATCAAGAATCTGTTATGAAAACTTAACCATAAAACACTTCAAATTCCAGTGGCTGTATTTCTGCCCTGACTCTGAATTTTGTATTGTAGCTCAGACTTTCTGTCATCATGACAGATTCTCAGTGACACTGTTGTAAAATGGTCTCACTTTATTTTGTTTATATATGTTTAGTTAAATGATTTTATTTAATTCTAAAGTATTTTCTGTAGATTTATAAATGAACTACATTACTTGGAATTATTGCTTTGAAATTGATTAGCTTTAGCAGGATACTTGCTAGCATTTATGTAAGTCTACAGAAAAGAATTCTTTCCTTGGCTGTAGATTTGAACTCCAGTTTTTATTTACATTGGTTTCCTTTAGTATAAAGTATGATTAGCAAAATGTGTGATAAGAGAACTATGGAGAAATGTCTTTTGTCCAAGGTCACGGAACAGGCTGATGAATTAAGGTCGAAGTAAAACCTTTTCCTTCTGAGTCCTTATCCATTTAGTTTATAGCATTACCTCATTTTTACTTTAAAAATGTTTCTATATTCTAATAGGAAAATGAAGTGTGAAATTATAGTGTGTATCTCTATTGTGTGTTTCTTAAGTATGAAACAAGAAACTTTAGTAGTGATATAATGATTGTTTATTGTGGTGAGATACATATATATGTATGTTTGCATGCAGTTTTAAACTTGGTAATATTTTTTCATATTTGAAAGTTTTAAATGCTATAAAAAATAAATATTTGTTGGTCTTTGAAATGTACGGCTGCTTTCTTTGATATAGCTTTTTGCTCTACGTGATACAATTTCATTTCACAAAATAAACCATTGTAATTTAGAAAAGTACAAGTCCCAAACTATAAATAAGTAAAGAAATAATTAACAGTGGTGTGAGAAATTCTGTTCAAAGACCTAGATGTTGGTAGGAGCAATTCTAGGATACTCTGAATTACACCGTATTGACACACTGTGCAGAAAGAAGTTCTTGGATTTCCCTCCCATCCTACTGAAAGGATCAGGAGATTGGTAACATTTTCTTAAATCTGTGTGAAACTTCATGGTAAAAAGCTGCAATCTACAGATTTGTATCTTCTGGAAGATGACAGTTTTTTTTTAGATCACTCTGCTTTGGCAAATGTTTTTTAAATAGCAGAAGAAATCTTGTAGTGAAATTTGAAATTATTTTGTGGAGGCCTACTCCTGAAATCATTTCACATGAATCTGTGGAGCTCAGAAGTTTATGTTTATCTAAATTGTATGGTAGGAATCAAAATTGGCTACTTATTTAGACTTTATACCTTATGAAGCTAATTGAATGTGTGAGAAACTCAGATAAGCTCATTTAGAAAGAGGTAAATATTGTCTCTACCTCTGACTATCTGTATTTTTTTTGTTTATTTTATAATAAGTTGGATTTCTGGTTGATGCATACTGTCTTTCTGAGAAACCTCGTACGGCACAAACTTAGTCCACATATAGTAATAAAAGATACCCTGTGTGTTGTATGTAAGATTTCTGTGCTTTAATTTAGGAAAAAGGCTGATGGGAAATTAGAAATAGATTACCACAATCAAAAATAATTCCATTGTTTTGTACATTGATTGTGTTTCTAATACTGGTTACCTTGCTAAAGGTTATTTCATGAAAAACACGTCTAATCTCTTTCTAGTGGAAAACATCCCATCCAGGTATCTGCTGTCTTAGGCATGGCTTCATGCGATATACTTTAAGTGTTTGAATATGGCACATAAATTTGCATGTGGCTGTATTTTTTTTCAATTAATTTTAGTAGAGAGCTGGTGAAAGCTGTTGAACTTGTACTGTGTATTTCTTGTGCTAAGAGTAGGTCTAAGTTATGGGACTTTCACTTCTTAGTGGCACAAGAACAAAACCAAGTTCTTGAGGGCTGTGTGGATGTTAGGCACAGAGATTTATTCCTCTGTTTTGTTTCTGAATTGTTTCTTGGAGTTTCTGGTTTTGTGGTTTGTTTGGTTTTTTTTTTTTTTTTTTTTTTCTGGATAGCTTCTCTCAGCTAAGTTCCAGGACACAGCACTTCAAGCCACAGAGGCAGAGCAACAAGAAGATACAATAAGCAGAGAAAAGAGAGGGACTACCTCTTCTGTCTGCTCCATGCCTGTTGAATGTGTTTAGATTGACCTGAAGCCTGGAAAGACGTTTCTGAGTTGTAGAAGTGGTTGGGCTCTGGGCACAGGAGCAAGAAGAGCTGTGTGGGTGTTGTCTATGTATGGAAAGCTGGTTATAGGGTTACAAAATTAATGGTTAACTATGCAATTGGAAGCTGCCCCTTTTCCAGCCACAAGTGCTAGTTGGTAGTCCGGAACTACCTCATAATTTACATGGTTTATCTTTGATCTTTCCTCATTACTAGAAAATATACACCCAAGGATATATGAAACGTATACAAGGTTGCACTTATGTCTGTCTGTCTGTCTATCCATATGGGCAACTTTGGAGTTTAAAATGCTTTCTACTAGAGAATATAGTTTCTAGTCTCAAGTCTGTTGGTGCTTACAGTGTTGAAATAGATGTATGGTTCCACAGAATCACAGGCTGGTTGAAGTTTGCAGGGATCTCTGGAGATCATCTAATCCGAACGCCTGCTGAAAGCAGGGTCGGCTAGAGCAGGATGCTCAGGGCTGTGTCCGGTCAGGGCTTGAAAATCTCCAAGGATGGAGAGACTTCAGCCTCCCTGGACAACCTGCTCCTGGTTTGATGAGGTCTACGCTCACCTAACTTGCTGGAATGTGCTGCATCATTATAGGTGATACAGAATTAGATTTATTTGGGCTGCTTTAAGGATGACATTTGCTTTTTGTTTTTGTCTCCTACTGAAGATTCACCTTATTTTAAGGTTGTTTCATGACAGATCTAGCTTTCCAAATACTTCCCCTCTGCTTCATTCTGCACCTTTTTTTAATGAATAGCTATAATATGACAAGTGTAAAAGAAGAGATGGATATTAAGACAGTAAGCAACTGTTTAAATCTTTCACTGCCTGTTTCATTGCAGTTATAATTCCTTCCTCTCAAAATTACGTGGTTTCGTTTAAAATGCACTAAAGGACTACATCGGACTGTTTCTCTTTTAAACAAAAGCCATATAACAAGTTGGCCATTTTAGACATTTCAAATATTGAACTCAACTTCATTTCCCTTCTTTTCCAGTTGCTGCTGTAGTGTTATTCTATACAGCCCAAAGCCCACATAATATACCTCTGACTGAAGTAATTGGGCCAATATGGCTAATGTTGCTACTTGGAACTGTGCATTGTCAGATTGTTTCAACAAGAACTCCTAAGCCACTTCCCAGCACAGGGGGTAAAAGAAGAAGGTATAGTTCATGTTAAAGTACTTATCATTTAGGATTGTTAAACTATTCTAAAGAACATGCTTGAAAAAAAAATGCTTACAGTCTCTGCATTGCAAGGGATGAGAGATTGGTGCTCTGTTTTAATCTGAAACTTTGAAATGGGTGCTTCATTGGTGGTCTTCAATTTTTACGCATTGACTAATTTATGCATTGTTTTATTTGAATTTTAATGCATTGAATCTGACATTCTGCCTCAAAACAGTTTGTATCTGAATAGTAGTGGAGTCACAGTATTTATATTACTGCAAATTTAGTTTTAGAACTCTGCAGTGCTGACTAATGCTCTGTGTGGCAAACATACAGTGAAGGAGATGCTATTGGAAGTGTAAACTTAAGTCTTCCAAGCGCTTCACTGAGTATGGATTACTACAGTGAATTGTCCCATTAAAATGGGGAAACCTGCAGTAGTAAATTTAGCAGGTCTGTGCCTCTGACTTGAAATGTATTTTGGATTAAGTGTTATGATAATGAATGATTGTTATGCTGAGTTTTATTAAATGGAGTTTATTAAATTGATGTGATAAAGCTTTAGCAAAGTATTTTGAAATCTTGCTTATTTTTGCATGCTTTAACTGCTGAACACATTATAGAACTAGTAGATTACACTTACAAAGCTACCTTCCAATTTTAATCTCTTCTGATGAAGGAAATTAAGGAAAGCAGCACATTTGGAAGTACATAGGGAAGGAGATGGCTCTAGTACCACAGATAACACACAGGAGGGAACAGTGCAGAGCTACGGTACAAGCACCTCTTGCAGTATTGGCGCTGTCTTCAGAGATATCTGGCATGCTGCTTTCTTTTTATCAGGGTTTGTATTTATTCAAGGCTACGTATGTGTTAGAGATGCACTATCCCTTTTCTAATAAGTAAACATTGATGTAATGATTAAACTTTTGTTGATTTAGTTTTTATTCTTATTAGTAAACTCATCTCAGTATTTGAACATGTACTAATGTGTTGTTTCTTGACTCTTGAAAATGCTGATGCAATAATTTTGAAAAGAGATTGAATTAACTTTTAGTTAAATTATATTTTGATGTAGGAGTACTCTGTGTGGGCTATCAGGAGTGAACCAACTCAGTTTCTCAATTCTAATCCAATGAGAAAATTTGACTCTTTAATTTTACTTTATTATATTAGCTGCTTATTACTCTGAGAGAATGCTTACTGAACTCTGTCACTGTCATCAAATCACACACTTGCTGAAGGAAAAGCCTTTAGGATTCAAATAGGCACAGCATTTATTTTATAAATAAACATTGAAGAGACATTTTTTTAATGATTGGAAGAAACATCCAGAGCTGTTTTGCAAATGATCAATCTGCTGATGCAGTGCTCTGGGCAATTAAAAAGTTTTTAAAAAAAACATACGATGTTCAAGAATTCTGTGTTATGCTATACACACAGCACTGTGAGTGGTATATATCAGCATTTATTAACAAGAGAAAATATGCTCATAAAATAGTATGAAATTGAGAAAAGGGATACTGCAAGTTATTACATTGATGTTTTGTTGTGCATGCTGCATCTTACATATGGCAACACTAATGTGTCTGTCATACTTGTGATATGTGCTCTTAACCACTGGTAAAGCTTATCTTGTGTTACATTCTGGGAATATCTAGTTGAAACTCTGGAGGAGTTTTAAAAATATTGTGAGAGAAGAGTTTGTTTGACTTTTTCCTGTGTAGATTAAGCTAGCTTTGACAAGCTGTGAGTTATAGTAATAGACACCACTGCTGTTCTTTGGGTCTGTATGCGTTACTTTCTGGTACATTTGGAATGTAATCTTGTAAACTTTTGAATGTTTTCCATTCATTGAAGATAGTGATCTGCAATAAGAAGAGGAGTGTTGGAAGATTCATTTTTTCCTTCCCTCCCTGATATTGGGCTCAGTGTTTTCAGTTGAGAAAGGGCTGTGTGGGACTTGCTCTAAGGACTTGCTTAAACCATTTAATGAGAGGTAGTGTGCATGTATATATATAGATGTTAAGCCTCAATGATGACTACTTAGTATACAGAGTATCTTCAAAGGACAAAGACCACAGAGTGACTGAGAAGGCTGTAAGTAGCCCTTATTCATTTGTTACCTGTTTGGTTGCAGACACACAGTTGTTTGTTTGTCTGGAGCCATACAAACCATATTGACAACCCGTCCAGCTGAAAAATAACCTTTTTTCCCAGGAGATAATGCAGACCAGTTTCTTCATGTAGTTTTTTGTGTGGTAACGCAAACAGTTTTGTCAGCGTGGTGGGGTGGCAGAGTGAGGCTGGGAATGAGTAAGCAGGAGTGCAGCATGGACGACATCGACTACTTGGTGATGTTGCTGAAGAAAATCTTATGATTCCTTGCACCTTCGTCAATGCAAGAAAGCTGTACAGTGACATCTGTTTCTTAAGACATATTTTGAAGCTCTTTACGTAAGCGTATTAGAGTGTCTCATTAGTGTTTAGTTACAGCAGTTTTTCACATATATTAATCTTTGAGATACCATTTGCTGGAGTTTTAAATACAGGTCTTAAAAACATGGTTTCAAAATTAACCTCAGAAATTAGGTTCTTTGCTTTAGGGCAGGACCCTGTGTACCTAGATCATTTGCCTACACTTGGGTCATTGGCAATTTGGATCTGTGTATTCAATAAATATCCTTTTGAATGGCAGAACTCAGTCTGACTAATAAAATATAATTCTAAACTTTAATCCATCATGGGGCAATTTAGAAAATACTCATTATTAGTTTTACTGGAAAGGAGGGCAGCATCCAAATAGGTAATTTATTCAGAATGTACTACTGATTTGGGACTTTGCGCTTTGTGTGTGTCCTTACTCCAATTATGGAAATCTTACAATTGTAACTTCTTTCTAAGTTTTGCAGTGTGAACACAGAGGAGAGTTTTTTGACCAGCCCCATTGAAAATACATTGGAATGGAATACTTGACAGTGAAAATCTACAGTCTTCCAGAAACTTGATTTAAATCTTCCTTAATACTTTTTTCTAGCTAATGCATGAATAAGACTGAAAGTCATTCTTGACTTAGATTTTGCATATGCTCAAGCTTTTTAAGACCTTGGATTTTTTCATGGTGTTATCCTGTTTTAAATACTTCTAATTCTAGCATGAAATTTAAAAAGTTGATTAATGATATATGTGTATTAATTCTAGGAAACTATACATTTCTATCAGCTAGGGAAGTATTGTTAATTTTTGTTGTTTTTTCTTTTAACATAGTATAGTGCACAAAAGCCTAACTTTAAGTCCAAAGTTATACTTTTCTGGTTTGAGGCTTGCACTTAAAATTAGGGATTCTTACAAAAAATGACTTTGGTTTCTATGTTAGAAACAAATGAAAGACTTCAGTCAAGTTACTTGTTTTTCAAAATGAGCCTTAGTTGATATCAGACTAGTATTTGTCTTGCAGTTTTATCTTAAAAGCACTTCAAGTGCTTGAGTAGTGAAGTCCTATCTGAACAAATTATACATACGTACATACATATGTTTTCTTTGTCTCTTATCTATTCCTACTCAACTGTTTAAGGTTACATCTCCCTAGTAGCTTTCAAGTTTCATGTGAAATGTATAAAAACTTCTCAAATCAAACTTGTAAGAGTTGTCCTGTTATTGTGGAGTAAGTCTGACTGGATGTGTGTGCGCATATGATGAGAACTGCATTCCCATTCGCACTCTTAAAAAGAAATTTTTTAAAAGTGCCAAAAGTATATTTAATGCATTAAAAATTGGCCTCTCTAGGTTCTTGCTTATTGCAGATAATTTAATATTAGTGCTACTTCCTTAGTGCTCACAACTGAGCTTACTGAAACATTATTTTGCAATGAGTTGGCACTGAAAGGCTGATACTTGCCGTTCCATTAAATAATAAGCTAAGCTTTCTCTTTCTTCAGTTGTTTAACTGTTAATGAAGATAAGACAATGACATTATGGTACGGCACAGAACTAAAGTTCTAACATGTTTACTGTTGATAGTTTAACCTTTTTGTCTAAAACCTCAATAATGTTTTAAATGATCTTAATGAACCTAGAAAATAAAAATTCTGTGTGAGCTAGCACATTGGTAATTTGCAAACAGGAGGAGGCTTACTAAGTGCTGCTCCACCATAAAACACATGCTAAAGCATCTTGCTGTCTCTTTACCTTTGTAAGCTTATAATAAAAATTAATCCATGCAAATATATAATAACTACAGAAAGTGTTTCTGCTGGGTTTCTTGCTCATTTAGAAATAAAATTGATTAAGAATTTTAGGAGTAGGCCAGGGAATAGTAGGTGAGTTCTGTAGCTTCCCACAAGAAGTGGAGCAGCAGTTACTTTTTGGCTTAAAAAAAAAAAAAAAAAAGAATAAAAAATGCTGTTAGCTTTTTTTCCAGGAGGGGGTGAGGCAAGGTGGAATGAGATTAAAGATGGGAAAGGAGGATGAAACACCTTAGTAACATTGTCTCTTGTCTTCAATATTTTGTCTGCATTCCAACAGATGAATTGTTCCTTTTTGGATTTTTCTGTTTTATCTAACTCTCCCTAGCCATTTTTTGTGTTCAGGTCTCCCCTATCTATGTGGAATACCTTATCTTGGGAGGAATGTGAGGTGACTATCCCAATTCTCCTGGTTCGTTTGTTGTACATATTAAAGGGGAATTTAATCTTCTGCTGTGTAATTCAAGCTCTCGCAGAATGCCTCACTCCTTAAAGAGGAAGGCAATGCGTATTCCCTGATAGGAGCACAAGATCAATTGAACAGATTCTTCATAGTTTTATGACCTATGTCCAGTGTTCTTCTTTATTAAAAACAAACAAAAAGCTGGCAACTTGTTTTGTAACACTTTTTTCTCTTTCACAAGTGTTCTGGCAATCTAACAAACAAAAACTAATGAATACAAGATATTAATTACTGTTCTGATTTTTTTTAATGTCATTTACTTTGAGAATACAAAGCTTAAGCGAAGACTTAAAATAGTCTCTAGCGATAAGGTAGCAAGCTGCTCTTCCTTTTCATTCCTTCTTCGACTGCACTTTCTAATTTGGAAGTGTAATCATCTGAATGTTTGCTTTGAGAAAGCCTTTTTATTGCATTAGATATTCTTGCTGCAATGTCTTTTGACTAGATAAGGGCCTTTACGTCTAGAGGATGATATGGAAGACTTATCAATATTAGTAGTCTTAAGAATAATAATACTGAGGCATAATTCATAAAGTTATTTTATGATTTGAAAACAGACTTAATTAGTGTGTTGTAAGATATATCAAAATACGTTGCTAGGGTTAATGGAAACAGAAAAGAGGTAAATCACCTTCTGTTTAGTAGAGTTGTTAATAAGCGGAGTGTATTTAAAACAACAGCAAAAAATATCTTTGTGCAGAGTACTAAACAGCATGTTTGCAGCTTCAGGAAATGGCATACTTTAAGTGTTATTAATTCAAAGCAACTTTTAACATAACTCTCTTATTCTTAAGATAGAGAAGTTTCTCATTTACATTTGAGGTTTTTGTGGTTCTTCTGTTGCCAAAGTTGCTGGGAAGTTTTAGTTTTAAAAACATAGGTTTCCTTTTCTTTCAGTAGCTAATGATAGAGTTATATTTTAGATACAGTTTCTTTTGTAACCATTTTAGGCAAGGATAATGGGTATTTAGAAGATGAAATAGTTACACATATTGGATCTAATGTTCATATTATTGGTTTGTGGTCATCTTAGTAGTAAAACTAAAACATGGGTTGAGAGCGATAAGTAGGATTTAGACTGGGAAAAAAATGAGAGAATCATTAATTTAATACATGTATTTGTTTCAAATATAGATCTAAGAAAGCAAAAAACTCAATAGATAAATCCACTGAGACTGATAATGGCTACGTGTCCCTTGATGGGAAAAAGACAGGTAGAAGCAGTGAAGAATGTATGCAGGCCCATGAGCGTCGATGTGAAGTGATTAAGCCAGAAGAGTCAGGGTGGAGCACTGTAACAGTGAGAGATGCCTTCAACAACCACAGTCATCACAAAGTAAGTGTGCTTTGGTGCTTTCAAAGCAGGATTACTTATTTGTCAAATGATACACCAGGTGTATTTTTATGATGCTTTTGATGCATTCTTACCTACTTTATCCTTAAAAATATTTTAAAAATGAAATTAGGCTTAGGGCCTTGAGACCAAAAATTGTTAAGTCTTCTTATTTCATCCTTATATTCCTAGCCTTTTCTTTTTCTTGTAGGAGGATCCTTACTGACATCCAGACATTCTTTGCCATTCTGTAATTCAATGCACAAATATGTGTGCTGTCTTTTATCTGTGGTTTTTTCCAGACCAGCTAAACGCTATACCTTTTCCTGCCTCTTTGATACTCTGGGCACAGGTCTGTCTCTATGCTAAAATGGAACAAATTTTGGATTACTGTCAATTTGTATTTTTGAGGTCATTATGAGCGTTTGCCTGTGAATCATCTTCCTTTTCCTTTCTTTGGACTTTCTTGGGTTGATTTCTGTGGAAGATGAGGAAAGCATGATTTCCCTCTCAGTGAAACAGGCAGGACTCTCTGTAGTGAGGAATAGGGATGAGATGAAAGCATAGGAAGTGATCATGAAAGAAAGCAGAACTTTTAATTTGACTGGGTCTGATTATCTCTTGGATATCCTATTTTCATTTTACTGTTCTACGGAGTAACTTTTTGAAAACATTTTTACCAGCTTTCTTATCATTGGCATTTAGACATATATTAGCTGCCATCACAGCTATTGTACTTGACTCTGTCTCAATAGTATTTACCACCCCTCATCAATCATTGCAAGGGTTTTTCCATGATAATATTAAAGGAAAAGGTTATTCTACTGGAAGCCTACAAGTACACATTTTTATAAAGGAAAGACATTCTTTGTGGATTTCATAGCCAAGTTATTTAACACCCCCTTAAAGATCCATATGATTAAGTCAAAATGATGGTGATAAAGGTTCATCTAAGGGCGAAAACTTCACTCTGTTGCTCTGCAGGAGGTGCTTTCTCAGCAGTGATAGTAACTGAGGTTCAGTTGTCTTTATCAATTCCAAGCATTTTGCATTCTTGGTGAAATTCAACAAATCAAGGATTTTTAAGAAGAAGTAATTTTAAAGAATTTCAAGTTTCTTTGATAGAATGGATGAGATGTCCTCTGTGTTTAACTTGCACCCCCATTAAAGAGAAGTTGGCAGTAGCTAGGATGGGCTCCTCTCTTCTTATCTCTTCTTCCAAAGTCAATCAATACATTTCGGTGCCACTGCAAAAGGTAGTAGATCAGACATTCCAGACTGTTCTGCCTGTCCCTCTTTTTCTGTGCAACTCAGCTGTTAAAAGAAGTGAAATAACCTGACCTTGAAGCGTCTCAGAAAACAGAGTTCATCATGGAAGAGAGAATGATGTCTGACTTGCAGGGGGGGAAGGATTTATTGTATTCTTAGAGAATAGCTTCACTATTTTTGTCCTTTTAGCATTTCATTGATGACAGGAAGACTCCAAAGGAAGCTCTGCAGGGTCCTATCTGGTGATCTCATAATAAATGAGAGAACACGAAAGAGGTTTTTTTGACAACTGAGTGATCCTTTGCTGCCTTTTTTTTTTTCTTCTTTTTTTTTTCTGTTACTGTAAGTGCTATTTTAAATTTAGCTTAAAATCAGGGAGATGGAAAATGGAATAAATTAATGATCTGAACATTCAACATGCAATCTGTAGCACTTTATCATTGGAAGAAGAGGTAAATGCTAATTTTGTACTGTAGGTGTTGATAATTCAGTATTACAGTGTCTGCTATCATAATTTTGGTGGTTGGGGTTTTTGTTTGTTCTTTCCCCAATTCTTCTGGATGTATTGCCTCTAAGCCTTTCTTGGTAGGTTCGGTTTGGACAAAATCACTTTTAAAATAAGAATGTCAGATATGTTCCGTAATATAATACGATCTCATCATCTGAGAAATGTTTATTTTGGTATTACAATTTTTGTTTTATAATTTCTGCTGTACCACTTAATTTTGACAATTAATTAAAATTTTGACAATGCATTAGTATCAAATTTAACTGAGCATAGATAATAATGTTGCAGAAAGAAATTTAATTTCAGTAGTTGAGAACAAGACCTAGTAAGTATGAGTGTATGTCTTACTAATACTGTGTTTCTTGCACTAGGATACGCACAGGACTGTGACAAATTTATCAGATGAAGTTTCTAGTGAGGAAGGGCCTGAAACTGGATATTCTTTACGTCGCAGTGTAGAGCGCACTTCTAGTGATTGTACACTTCGAAACAGGAAATCTCACCATTATAAGAAACACTGTCCTCTGGAGGTATGTTCTTTTCCACTGCTTCTTTTCTGTAAATTGATAAAACCTCTTTGTTTCTTATCAAATGATATATTTTCCTCAAACCTTTTCTCTCCTATATTGGATTTTACGAGTCTGTTAAATGGAAGTCATGGTGGTAGGGGACAGGGATGATTTTTTTTTTATTCATTTTGTTTTGTTAATTAAATGACAGAGTTTTTTGAAATTAAGAGGGTTTTTTTAGTTGGCTTGAGCTTCATCCTATTTTTCTATTTTTTGTAAGGATCCTAAAATATATTCTATAGATCTTGCATCAGATTGTGGCCAACTCTGTTGCTGTCTTTTGACACCAGTTATCTCCTCTGGAAACCTCATTTGTTACAGAAACAGTAGTAATTGGCAATATGCAAATTTTCATCATGCTGGTGCTGCTGCTTCTTTCCATTCAGTATTTTGGATCCTCTAGCCTTCTTGTCAGACAAGTCTGATTAACTAGCTCTCAGTTTTTGTTCCCTCATGTTTGTTGAAACAGTCATTTAAAATATTGTTCTGAAATCTCAAAAAAGTTGTTAATGCATAAAACCCCAGAAATTTTAAGAGACTTGGTGACTTTGTAGCTTAGAAGAGGAGAATTCACAGATTCTGTATTAGCAAAGTCCTTAATCATAAGGACTCAGACATTGAAAGAGAAAGGGATATGTTATTGTGTTTTTATTTATTTATTTTTAAAGAAATTATGCTCTTTTTTGTTAATGGTATGAAACTTAACAGACATCTGGAACTTTTTTTTTTTTAAAGGCGGTATTGCCATTTTTTCCCTAGGAGTGTCAGAAAAGAGTGTAAAGAGCAATTTCAGCTCTGACAGAAGTTCATTTACAGATGAGTTTAATAGGCAGAGCCTCATGAGTAAGCGTTCTACTTGATATGAGAAACGCCTCCTTAGAAGGGTTCAAATGTTGCTTTCTCTGATAACAATTGCAAAGCCTTAAAGTTGATGCTTTGCATAAAAACATTATTAGATAATCTTCCCTTCTATTCTTTCGATTATTTCTTACAGACTTTGGTTAGAACGATCCAGAAGGCTAATCGATTTGACTGTTTAATGCCTTGTGCATATTTGGTTTAGGATAACTGAACAGGTCAATACTTAGAACCGTTTGTTTTGTATTACAGAAGATGCTTCTTGACTGTGTACTTGTGCAGCTGGTAGTGCTTGACAAGAGGAAGCAGAAAGACATGATTACAGTCAATTTTTTTTTTTTTGGCTTCAATATATTTTTTCTCATGTAGAGTGCTTCAGAGCTAGGGAAGACCGTGTAGATATCTTCAGAAACCGAAGAGATTAAATTTACTTGATGTGTAGCTTTGGCAGTAATATTTTATGCTTATTCCCCATTTACTTTGCTGACTGATGCCATGAAAGAGGAAGCCTTTCTTTGTTCTTAGTTGTTACCAACTCGCCTCCCCCACATGATTACAAAGAAGATGAAACAATAGTTTTCAAATCTGTGAAAGCTTTCTTTGTATTTAAAAAAAAATAGATTAGTGAAGTCAGTGGATATACTCTCAACTTCTGTCCTCCATTTTCTTTTATCTTCATGTTATACTTGTCAACCTAATTGTTGTTTGAGCAAGCTTTTTAATGCTCTTACTTTATTAACTTCAGTTAATAAAAGTGGTAAAAACTTTTACCACTTTTAACTAGCTTTATTAACTTTTACCACTTTTAACTAATAGCTTTATTAACTTCAGTTAATAAAAGTGGCAGTCTCTACTGGGTACTCTCAGTGGTACCCAGTAGAGACTGCCTTCTATAAATAATATTATCTTTTTTTTTTAAAAAACCATTTCAGACTCTTTCTGCATTGAAGTTATCTCTCACTTTGTAAAAGAAAGGGAAAGA